TCAACAGACGAATGAATAAACAAATTATGGTACATACACACAGTGTATTTACTTTTTAATCTGAAATCCAAACAGCCACAAAGCTGTGACAATTTTTCTCTTTATTTTTCCTTATACAGTAACTCAGTTATAAAGAGAAATAGATGAATGATACGTATACATAGAAGCTAATATAAAGGATGTCATTATGTAAACAGTTTGGTGGGGACCTGTGTCTTTTAGTTGGTACAAGTTGAGTTCAGTGTCTTAGACCTAGTGTGTCATCAGTTTTTTATAACTGATGTTCATAATGTTACTGAAGGTGTGATAAGTTCATGAAATGCCAATCACATCAATAGTTTAAGTACATAATGACTATTACTGTTAGTAATTTTATTCTAATTCTTAGAAAATTAATGAATCAATGGTTACTATATATAATAATCTCAATTAACAAAAATACATTTTCTAATAATTTTAGATAAATAGCAGTCCGTGTTTTGCAGTTTCGAATTTTATAGGAATATTTCTTTTTATTGTCCAGATAAACAAACATTGAATCTAGGAATTTAATGTAAAGTTATCAGTTGTCCTAACTTATGACTAGTACTTATAGGCTTGGCTATCGTTTGATATTTATTTTATATATTTGAAATATTGACCCTAGCTGAGTTACCAGTGATAAAAAGCTGCTAATGTGAAATGGTGCCAAACCAGATTTATTGTTCAGTTACATATTAAGCTTTCATGATTTTTAAGTAGTTCTGTGTAAGTGTACTGCAAAATATAGGAGCATTTCTTGATCTATCCAGTTTATTCAACCTAAATTTAAAATAATTTGTGGCTTTATTTTGTCTTATCATTGTTCTCTATTAATTTCTGCTGCATCCGTTTGTAATATAATTATTATATTTTGACCCAGATATATTTTCCTAATAAGCCCAATTTCAAATGATACCATATTTTATCAAAGAACTTTATTAGTATGAACAGTTAATAGATTCAAGGAAATATTCTCATAAACTAATTTTTAACAACTTTATTTAGGTATATCATAAAATTCACCCATTTTGAATCATAAATTAATGTTTAAAAGCTAAGGTATTTGAATTTTAAAAAATTACAATAGTCATAATAGATAAG